GATGAGTGAAGTTTAGACCAAAAAGTTCTACTTTGGTCTCATCTGCCCACATGACTTTCTCCCATGCCTCCTCTGGATCATCTAGATGGTCTTTGGCAAACTTCAGATGGGCCTGGACATGTGATGACTTGAGCAGGGGAACCTTCTGTGCAATGCATGATTTGAAACCATGACGGCGTAGTGTTCTACCGACAGTGACCTTTGAAACTGTGGTCCCAGCTCTCTTCATGTCATTGACCAGCTCCTCCCTATCGTTCTGGGCTGATTCCTCACCTTTCTTATCATCAGTGATACCCCACGAGGTGAGATCTTGCATGGCGCCCCAGTCCGAGGGAGACTGACAGTCGTCTTTAGCCTCTTCCATTTTCTAACAATTGCTCCAACAGTTGATCTATTTTCACCAAGCTGCTTGGCAATTGCCCCGTAGCCCTTTCCAGCCTTGTGGAGGTCCACAATTTTGTCTCTGGTGTCTTTTGACGGCTCTTTGGTCTTGCGCATGGTAGTAGTTGGCGTCTGACTGACTGTGGGGTGGACAGGTGTCTTTAAAGAGCTCAGACAGGTGCTACTAATTTAGATTAATGAGTGGAGTAGAGGTGGACTTTTTCAAGGCACAGTAACAGGTCTTTGAGAGCCAGAATATATATATATATATATGTTTATATCTGCAATCCAACAATTATGGCTTTTACATTGTCCATTTTCAGGTCAATAGCAAGCAGGCGGTACTTCTTCCTCATCGGTACCCTGTACTTGTACCGCTGTGTCACTATGTACATCACCACCCTGCCTGTACCCGGCATGCACATGACTTGTGCCCCTAAGGTGAGTATGTAAGCATCAGAGCGAGCATCAGCTGTTGTTATTTAGCCTTGTGCCCTCAAGTACGCTCTGGGACTCATTTTGCCCAGCCACGCAAGAGAGACAGCTATAAAAAGGCTATTTTGTGTCTTTGCTGCCTCAGGACACCAGTGATATTGAGGTGCATCAGTATTTGATCAAAAACTTGTGCTCAGCAATGAAGGGTCACACAGTTTAGATGTTTTGTTCCTAAGATTTTGAAATGTTTGGGAAAGTGTATGAAAGCCTTTAGCTGCTTATTAGAAGGGAGTTATCAACAGTAATTTAAGCAGCAACTACAAGAGATTTGACCACGTTTAGTTGATGATACAGTTGGACTATGTTTGTTTTCTTTCCTTCAGTTCCTCTTCATTCTGACTGTTTTCCTCTCCTGTCAATTACAAGCTCAACTTGTGTTGCCTAACAAAAAAAAGAGAGAAGCAGTTAAACATTTTGATAACTAAATCTGCCTATAAAGCTTGTTAATTGACACATTAAAACAGTGAGCTGCAGTTTTAAGGGATTTATCTGCTGTATTCTTGCCTATTTACACCACAGAGATGTTTCCAGGCAAACACTGGGAACTAAAATGTTGAATTTTTCCTTTAGTTTGCAACAGTTTTGATAATCAATAAAACCTAATTATTAAAGTTGAAATGGCAGTATTGATTAAATATTTTATCAAGCAAAAGTCTCTGAGTCCAGCTGAACTACTTTTCTTAGTTTTACCTCACTGTGAATTGAATATCTGACTTTGTACTGTTGGTCAGATAAAAAGCATTTTGAAGATCAGAATTTGTGATTTTGTTGAGTAAATGGTTGATTATATCCAATCAATTGCTCATTAATTCAAGTAATTATTAGTTGCAGCTCTGATGTTAGCACAGATCCAGCTTTTATCTGTTGTTCTATCTTTACATCAACTTTCTGTTTTCTCTCAGCTGCACGGAGACTCCCAGGCAAAAATCCAGCGAATTTTGCAGCTGATTTCCGGTGGAGGTCTTTCCATTACAAACTCCCATCTGTTGTGTGGAGATTTCCTCTACAGTGGACACACTGTGATGCTCACCCTCACTTATCTCTTCATCAAAGAGTGTGAGTACCCAAAGTAGCACTTGTTTGTTTGCTTGTATGGAATAATTTATTGTAATTTTCCATATGAATAATACATTAATTATATTGTTTGTTGTCTCTTATATTATCTGTTTCCATTCTCATCTCTTATGGCCCACAGTATTGTGTTACAGTGCAGCTGTACTGTATACGACTACACATGTACGTACTAATAGGATACAAATAATTCATGTGTTGTCCCTATTATGTTTTCTTTTAACATTCTAATTACTTGAACGGAGTGAATTATGAGTCATGCTAAAAACAATGGATAGAAATAGAAAGAGAGCGAGCTTTAACAGAAAGGAATGAAAGGCGGGAAAGCGCAACATGTGTATAAGAACAGAGAGTTGAGTGGCATTTGGAGAGAGACTTTGCCTGAGCAATAACAGAATCAATACTGCTGAGACTGTTGGTCTGAGTCCTCTGGTAGAGAACTGCCATGATAGGGTATATTGTAGAGTTTAATGAAAGGAATCAAAGTACATATAAGAAGAGTTTCTTCTTATATTGTTTACAAGCAGAGTTTATGGTGTTTTAATGACACTATTACCAAGATTTTTGCTTTAGCTCTGTTTGTACATGTGATGCAGGAAATCGTTCTTGATACATTTGACTAAAATGCTGCAGTCTACCCTTTTTGACAGCAGAGACAGCCCACATATGTCATAAATATTGCCAACACTCTTTTCTTTGCTCTCTCTCAAGACTCGCCGCGGTCGTTTTGGTGGTACCATCTGATCTGCTGGCTGCTCAGCGCCGTGGGTGTGGTGTGCATCTTAGTGGCACATGAGCATTACAGTGTGGATGTGGTTGTGGCTTATTTCATCACCTCCCGCCTGTTCTGGTGGTACCACACCATGGCCAATTTACAGGTCTGAACACAGAGCTGAACACTGGATGTGTGTGTTGAAGTCAAAAACATTAAATGAGAGCTTTCAGAGCCAAAGGCTCCGCTCTCAATGAACACTGGTACAAATGAATCATTATCCATGCAGGGCTTTACGGCTTCTCCGGTGAGACATGCTTGTATTGTGCTTACCTCAAGTATACAAGCTAAAACGTACATACATTTACATTTAAAGGAACTGGTCTATAAATTTACTATGTGTCTCTACTGTCAGAAGTGTCCACATGACTCCCTCTACTGTACTGTATTGTAAACTTGACAGTTGCTGTGGGGTGAGACCACTGCTAAATCATCTTTCAGGTTATGTTAAAACATTAGTCACATGATTTACATTCACAACACATTCAATACAATTTTCAATGAAGACCAGTGAAATAAATGGGAAAAAATACAACCTTGCCCAGTGATTTTAGTGGTCAACACAGATACACTGGGGAAACAAAAAGAGAAATCTCTACTAAAAAGACTCATTTTGTGTAACCAAGACTTCTAAAGCCTCATATTAACTTTGAAATATGTACTTTGCACTGAAGGAAAAGTGTGGAGTTTGTCTCCCATCTTCCCACCGATACCTCACCTAAGTTGCATAACTGTAATCTGACGGGCAGTCACACAAAAGCAACTTTGAAATTACAAATGCAAATCACGTTATGACAAAAAGAACTGACGTTGTTCATCAGTAGCACATTGAACTGCACTCCTTCTATATAAGGAAACATATAAAATGTGTTATTATTACTGTATTTTTTAAAGATAGCTTTCTTTTGGACAGACTCTGAAATGCTCGCCCAATAACTACCTCACCAACACCTGGTGGAATCCACTGTTCAACTTCCTGGAGAGAAATGTCCAAACCTCGGTGCCATGCTCGTACAGTTGGCCCATCACCTGGCCTCCTGCCTGCCTTAAGAACCCATGCAAGAAGTACTCAATGGTACAAAGCACACGAGAAGAGTGACGTGACCCTGATAACCCAGCAGTGTTGCCTGAGAGTCCACTGAAATGGTACTTTTTCATTCATTCCATTGTACTGGACAGCAACATAACGGTACCAAATGCATAAGAAATGTTTCAGCATAAATGTGCCTAGAAGGATAATCATATTGTCTCTGTATGTCACTTTAATTTATTTGTGAGATAAAATGCTATGACAAATTTTTTTTTGGTTTTTGTAAAGGATACTTGCATCAGTTCCTCATGAATTTCAAATATTTGTTGCAATGGACTTGCACATTTGTTGCAGTATTTGTAAGACTTTGATTTTGGGTCTGCTACCATAACTCTTTCTTACTGTATGTATTGATGGGGTTTACCTCAATATGATCAGCATGCTCAAGTGCCTTAGAGTGTTAAATGTCAGTAGGTGTACCAAAACTGCCATTATGAGGCTTCATGTACTTTTTCAGTTTTTTAATTCTTCTTCTTATTAATTTTGTATTAATTTTAATAGACTTGAGTGTGTATATTTTAGCTGTAGTCTCAACATTGTACTGTTATATTAAAATGTAACCATACTAAGGCTTTATTGTTTTTTTATTTAAATATAACTACTTAAACCATACCAGTCACAATAAATATATTTTTTCTAAAATTATTTGTAAAAAACATAAAAATAAAATCTAAATCACATGTTTATGTATTCAAGTTACATTATCCACATTAAGGAGAGGCAAAGGGCATACAGTAGCCAGTACAGAATATTTGTAAGCACATAGTTATGTCAGACTGTTAATATATTACTACATTTGGATTAAATATTTTATATACTTTCTTCTGTCCTTAAAGTTTATCATATATTTGTGTTTTACACTAATATGTGAATTTAAATGGAATTTGCTGTTGCAACATGTAGATTATGTTTTACATTAGTTTAAAAAAGTCAAAGAATAATAGAAAAAGAAAACTATGCAAAGTGTGTCATTCTCAAGTTTTGAATATCATTTAATCCATAAATGAACGTGCATTTTGTAGTCACATACAAAGAGAGTGATCGAGTAAGAAACAAATGACAAGACATAGGCCATACTCCCTATTTGCTGTCACTTTCCTTTGAAGTACAATACCTTAACAAAATTGAAAGGGGCAGGACTGCATTCATGCAAATAAATACGCTAAACTAATTTTTAAAAATTATAAATAAATAAACATTTCTATTTAAAGAGAAAAAATTGGAAAGATTGGCGATTGGAAAGAAAAAGTCTGCATACCTTAATTTATTTACATATTTATTTTACTCCCACTTTTTATAGTTTGCTTCTTGTGTCAGTGTACTATAGGGCCCCCTCACCATTCTAGATGTATTATGCTCGCCCTCGCATCGTGTGGTGTAGCCTGTAAGATCACCTTTAGGGCTTAAATGCCCATTTTCGCCGTCAAGACGCACCAATCACAACAGCTCACAGCTCTATCAGCCAATAGGAAGCGGCAACGGTGCCACCTTGCGTTATTACACAGGAAGACCGTGAGCAGGTCTGTTAAATAGCGTCTCCTACTATAGTTGGAATCTTCAGATTTATGACCGTTTAGCGAATAATCCTAAAAATGGGGTTGTATTGCAAGCTCACTTTATTCAGTGTATTTAAACTCTGACACCATGTTTCCATTGTCATCACTGAAACATCTGAGCAGTTCTGCACTGACACATGCAAACGTCGTAGCTCTAATAGTATTTTTGCTGGTATATTACTTATTCAAGTTTTATCAGAAACGTCGGGACCTCACAAATATTCCTCCAGGTCCGAAGCCATGGCCTATAGTCGGCAACGTCGGCGGCCTTTTCGTTCCTTGTTTCATCCAGAGATGGTTTGGACATGGATCAGACAGCAGCGTTGATAAGGAAAACCCCTTGGCTACTTTATCGAAACTAGTCAGTATTCACGGTAACGTTTTCAGCTTTTTTGTGGGGAATCAACTGGTTGTTGTGCTTAATGGTTATGAAATGGTCAAGGATGCTTTCTTAAACCATCCCGAGGTGTTCTCTGACAGACCCGACGTTCCTGTTGTCACTATCCTGACTAAACGCAAAGGTAAGAAGCTGTTTCACTGGTTGTAAACCTTAATTCTATGGGAAGAAAAGCCATAAGCTTGGCTACTGTTTTACTGGGTACTACTAGTTAACTAAAACAAATGCAGTTTAAAGGGGGTAGACACATTGGCAGATCAACCTGTTATTCACAATGTGAAATTTCTTATGCATTAATGTATCAACATTAGCATGTGCACATGGATCTTCACTGTTTAGGATAAACAGAAAAGACTGACCTCAACTTGTCAGAGTATACAATATTTGAAAAGGTACAACTATCTAACTGGTCAAAAAACTTTTGGGGAGAAGCCGTGGTTTAGACTAAACTCTCCCGTTATTGGTCCTTCAGTCCTTCCGTCCTCCAATCGTCCTCTCTGCTCCAATCATCGTGGACAGCGCTCTAGAAAGGAGGAAGAATACCTGTACTACTTTTGTTTTCAACGAAGTGCTCCATATTACGCATTGCCTTCCGTTTCACTTAATTAAAACTGTTCTGCCTGCGTGTGTGTGCGCATAACTGTTCTCCCTTTGAAGCGTTCTCATCTACGTCTAATCTATTTTAATAAACTTGGAGCCTTACCGTACCAAGACTCCTTTGGGTCCACCAGTCCAGAGGAACGATAAGTAACTATGAGCTCCCTTAGCTACAGCCATAAATCTTATGAAATTCAGTAATTTAGTGGACCAGACTTATGATGTTGCATTAGTGTTTCAGTCACTCACACAGCAAATATTTGACCAGTGGTTAAGTGAACACATAGGGTGATATTCATAACTATATAAACATAACTGTGACATATAAGTATGTAAACTTA